CGGCTGCTCCTAGCCTACTGAGTGTGGCAGAGATATTAAGGCACACCCAATTCTGGGACAAATGAAGCTCTTTTGTTGAAGGAAACAGTTGCTTAAACTTCAGGTCTCAGTAAAGTCATAGGATTGTAGCACTATATGCATTTTGAGAGGCTACCAAGCCCAACACTTTGCCCTTAAGCAAAGGTGAGTTGTCCCAACAAGATCAAAATCAAACTCGTTTCAAAGTTTCTGGAGAAGGTTTGCATAACTCGAGGCAAAATGTAAATTCTTGAGCTACTGTTACATTTAACAAAAAATGCAAACTGAGTCAGTTATTTAAACAATGGTTGTATTAATCCGGTCCATGTAATAGCTTGCTGGTGATGTTTGATGGTTAATGAGATGTGATAGAACATGTAGTTGACAATAATTTTAATTTTGGAAGTCTTTTGGAATTAGGTTTTTTTTTTTCCAACTAGTTATGACATTTTTCAAAGCTTTACCCTCTGGATTTCGGACAAACCCCTGAGGCGTAGAGTGTGGTAGAAAGAGGCTGGGCTTTTGGACCAGAACACCTGGATCCAAGTGCTTTTCCCTGCAGTTGAGTCTCTTGGCAACTCATTTAGCTTCTTGGAATTCAGCTTCCTCATCTATAAAATGTTAACACTAATGTGTTCCTGAACTTTTTTTCATTTTTAAAGCTTGGCACCTGAGCTAACAACTGTTGCCAATCTTCTTTTTTTTTTTTTTCTGCTTTTTCTCCCGAAATCCCCCCAGTAGATAGTTGTATATTTTAGTTGTGGGTCCTTCTAGTTGTGGCATGTGGGACGCTGCCTCAGCCTGGCCTGATGAGCAGAGCCATGTCTGCGCCCGGGATCCGAACCAGAGAAAACCCTGGGCCACCAAAGTGGAGCATGCGAACTTAACCACTCGGCCATGTGGCCGACCCCCATGAACATTTTTTTTTTACCAGATTTTTCTGTGACTTGAGGGCAGATTGTATAAAAAAGGACTTTGTAACAAGTTCCTATTACTGTTTGTTTGAGGAAGACAATGTTCATCTAATTTGTCACTCAGAAAGAGAAACGACAGGTTTGTTGTTAATTCCATTCAATCACAAGGCACTCGTCTCTAACACAAGTGATTCTTAACCAAGTTAAAAAAAAAAAGAAAACCATAAAGGGGAGGTATGCATACAACATTCCTGGTAGGTGAGGCCTAGCTCTCTTCCCAAGATGCCAGCAACAGCAGCAGCACTGAGCACGTGGTGACCCCATTGCTGCATCACTGTGCTCATTACCTCATTGAATGCTTCCAACAGACCTGCAGAATTGTGAGTCATTATCCCCATGTGATGTGACAGTGCGTAAAAAGATAGGGTACTTTGCCAAACCTCACCATTAGGAAGTCACAGAAGAAAAATTTGAATCTAGAGGTTTGGGTTCTAGAATCCATACTCTCAACGCTTGATAACTTTGCCTTTGAGCTCACAAGTCACTGGGTTTAGGAATATTGTCTTCACTGGCGCATCTCTTCTTCCAGAACTCTTGGAAATATCAAGGTCCTTTGGCTGGGCCAGGTCTGATCTAAAAATGCAGAATTTTTCTCGTTGTTCTAGTGGATGAATGGCACAAATTTCCATGAACTTTACTTGATATTGGGCCAGGTCTTTTTTTTTTTTAAATGTGTATCTTTTTTTGGGGGGAAGATTAGCTCTGAGCTAACATCTGTGCCCATCTTCCTCTATTTTATATGTGGGACACCTGCCACAGTGTGGCTTGATAAGCGGTTCATAGGTCCATGCTCGGAATCCGAACAGGTGAACCTCAGGCCACTGGAGGGGAGCATGCGAACTTAACTGCTGCACCACCGGGCCAGCCCCTGGCTGGGCCAGGTCTGATCTAAAAATGCAGAATTTTTCTTGTTGTTCTAATAGATAAGTGGCACGCACAAATTTCCATGAACTTTATTTGATATTGTAGGGGAGGAAAAACTTTTCTTCTACTCTGTTACTCTCGTTTTTGGGGGCCTGTGAATTAAATTGACAAAAGGCAGATTAACAGGAGTAAAGGTGTACAGATTTTACTGATGTTAATAATTTTACACGTATGAAGGACTTCACAGAAAAGAAGTGAAAACCCCAAGAAGTAGTTAGACTTGGAGGCTTATCTACCTAACTTAGTGGGAGAAGGGGAGAGGGAGAAGAGGCAGTTATGGGGAAACAAATGACTTTGGAGAGATAAGTGGACACTCAGGAGACTAGATGGAGATATGCTAGTCTTGTGACAATGTCTGTTTGGGTGTGATTAGATTAGAGTTCTTCTCAGGGAAGGGATTTATGACAGTTAAGTTCTTTTGGGAGGTTCTGCTTTTAGGTAGATAAGAGATTTCAGCGACTTAAATGCCTTCAGCTCAAAATAATCCTTATGCCCAAATGGCATATTTTGGGATGGCATATTGTGATCCCTTTTAGTATGTTGGGCTGAGAACTAAGTTCTCAAGTTACCTAATAAATGTGATATTTAGAATTACTATCACTTGGTGCAACCTATGGAGATGATCATATTCCCTTTGCAGCTGGTAAACAAATCATTGTAGGGAGGGCTCCATCTCTGGGGAGGCAATATAGGCAGAAGCCCTGTCGGGGACAGAAGGTAGCCCTCCAGGTGGGGAGGCTGGCTGGCTGGAGGGGCCGCTGCCTGTGGTACATGCTCAGGGAAGGTCACATGGTGTGAGCAAGGACCCTGGCAAAGGGCAGACTGAGAGATGGGGGAGGGGGGAGGGAGAGCAGTGTGGTAGCAGAGGCTGGACAGTGCATGATGAACGCTCTCCCCGGGACCTCTCAAATCACCAGGAAAGTTATACACGCAGGAACTTGTGCTGGATCTTTTGGGGAAACTGATGAAGACAGTGGTGTCCAAGTCAACAGCATCCACAGACACACAAGTGGCACCACGAGGAAGTAAAAAATGGGAGACCTGTCAAACAGAAAAATACATTCATTTTGAGCATAAACGAAATATTTTAAAAAGAGTAAACCACACATTTGATGGTTAATTTTATGTGTCAAATTGACTGGGCAGAGGGATGCCCAGACACCTGGTAAAACATTCTTTCGGGGTGTGTCTGTGAGGGCATCTTGGGAAGCGACTAGTATTTGAATCAGTAGACTGAATAAAAAGATTGCCCTCACCAATGTAGGTGGGCATTTAATCCTTTGGGGCCCAAATAGATTGAAAAGGCAAGGAAGGGTGAATTTGCTCTCTTTTTGAGCTGTGACATCTGTCTTCTCCGGCCCTTGGACATCGGAGCTCCTGGTTCTCAGGCCTTGGGACACAGACTGAATTATACCACCAGCTTTTCAGGGTCTCCAGCTTGCAGATGGCATGTTATGGGACTTTTCAACCTCCATAATTGCGTGAGCCAATTCCCATAATAAATCTCCTCATATAACAATATATAGCCTATTGATACCGTTTCCCTGGAAAACTCCAACTAATATAACGCACTAGGCCATATAGGATACCTTAATATATTCCAAAAGGAACAATATCATCCTGACTATCTTATCTGACCATAATGGTCAATATAATTAGAAATTAGTAACAGAAGAATAGCTTAAACATCTCATGTGTTGGAACCAAATAACATTACTAAAGAACTCTTAGATTTAAAAGGAACTCATACATTTAAGAAGAACCCCAAATTAAGAAATATTTGGAACTGAATGACATGAGAGTTGAGGGGGTTGTGGATATGGACCCTGTGGACTGGAGTCAGGCTGACCTAAATCTCTGAGGTGCAAGAAGGCCAAAACTGTCATGAGTATTTGCCACTAGAATCAGCCTGTTGCTAGAGAATTCCGAAGCCTTGCTTTCAGTGTTTTACCACCAATAATGTTGCAAAGTCTTCACTGAGCAAGTGCACATCTAGATGCTTGGAATACCCACACTCTTGTGGAAAGATATGTTGTTTGTGAATTATTAGTTAGGTGACCATGACCCCTGGATCTCCTGGGGCAGTTCTGGTGTATGCCTGCTGTCCTGTTGAAATTATTCATAGCACCACTTTTTACTTTCACAAGTGTCATGGTGTGGATGACAAATTATGCCATCACCCTAAAAATCAGTCATCACTTAAGTTGGCTGTGCTCTGGAGGTGTTGATGTTTTTGTATTAAATAATGTATTTGTAAAATTATTATTGTGGTTTTCTTTTGGTAATTGTTTTTGTTCTTATGTAATTGCTCCATTATTACCATTTTGATTGATTTGTTCCTCTCTTGTAATTGTTTGTTATCAAGCCTTTATTTTCCCCATGGGAAAGTTGGAATGGATGAGGTGGGCAAGCTATGGGGGACTTTGTCCCCCTAAATGGAATATGTTCAAAAAGGTTTAAGTTATATTTCTCTGAGGTTCCTCCCCTTTGTGAGGCTGACTTCCTGTTTCAGTGCATTCTCATTTCTGAGACAGAAGAGCACACATCTCAGAATTCTTAACATTTAAAGTCCACCGAGGAATTTATTTTCTTTGATGCGGATGAAATCTATTTAAATTTCACCACCGGTGCAGAAAAACAGTGAGAAATACAAAGCAGAACAAATGGACCTGATTCGTCATTTAGGGCATGAGAGCGCCCCATTCTGGGAGCCAACAATGTGGTATTTTCAAGGACCTCTGCCTCTGATTTGGGAACACAAACATTTCCTTTTCTCCGGAGATGCTCTTGTTTATGATCTGCTTTAGACATGCACTCCTGAGTTTACGTCAATGGAAATTTCTGGTTGAAATGTGCTCTGGCATCTCTCAATGAACATTTTTATTCATGCTCTGTATTGACAGTGGTTTAGACCTACTCTTGCCATTAATGAATCTGGAATAGGCATAACCAGTGTATTGTGCATAGGTAAAGACAAGTCCTAGGCCACATCCTCAGGGCTAAAAAGGAATCTGGGATGGCCTAAAGGAATTCAGGGCCTAACCTGAGCTGAACGCAATGTTGCTTTCTTCCTCTTTCCCGCAGCTCCTGGACTTGGATTTTGCTTGCAAAGGATGTTCCTTTACGTTCCTAAAGGACCTCATGGTTTACAACCAGAGCCAATTTGGATTGAACCGTTTTTCTCTATTGTAAGTGGGTGGCCCTGGATTCCCAAACCCACCACCAGAGACTGTAATTCAGGAGATCTGATGAGGGGTCTCAGGATCTGTTTGTTTTTAAAGATTGGCACCTGAGCTAACCACTGTTGCCAATCTTCTCCCCGAAGCCCCCCCATTACGTAGCTGTATATTGTAGTTGTGGTCCTTCTGGTTGTGCTGTGTGGGACGCTGTCTCAACATGGCCTGATGAGAAGTGCCACGTCCGCGCCCAGGATCCAAACCGATGAAACCCTGGCCCCCGAAGCGGGGCGCACCAACTTAACCACTTGGCCATGGGGCAGGTGCTTTGGGATCTGTTTTAACAAACATGTCCCTCCCTAGGATTCTGTGGTAGGCATTCCTTGGATCACATTGTTTTGGCGGGAGGACCTTTAATCTCATTGCCAGTAAATCCCTGGGGAAGCAGAGTTGCAAACTAAAACAGCCCAACCGAAGAATTCCTCCGCAGACTTGGCTCACAGCCTCAGAATCATCAGATTCAGAAAGAGGGGCAGAACATGGCGATTTTGTTTTGGCGGCCTGTGTTTTCTGCAGGCCCAGAGTAAGTTAGGAGAGCCGTGTGCCTGTGACAGCTTGAAAGATAGGGAGATTTAAATACCTAGGAAAATGAGCAGCTAAAGCTTCAAGTGTTTCAACCTTGGGCAGTGCTTGTGTCCTAGCTGAATAAATTAGAATCTCATCAGGGAATTACAGTGTCTAGTTATATTGTTTGGTGCTGTATTCATTATTGGTGCCAAGTGCCAAAAAAGAAAAATATTATCAAACATGAAATAAGAAAGTGTTTATGGGATCCTAAATACTTAATGAAAACCAAATTCGTGGGAGGAAAAACTAAGTTCCATGCTTGTTCATTTCTTTAAATCAGGGTCTAGATGGTACAAATGTTATAAGTAAAAATATCCACCTGATGAGCTCCCAGATTTGAAAGAAAGCAGAATTGTCTACAGCAAGTCCCCTTTGGTTAGTCCTGGTTGCTTGGCCTCCAGAGAATTATTTAATCTTACTGTCTCAGGTCCTGTTTGTGAAGTTGGAAGCAGAGGATGGGAGTGACAGATTTTGTCCTTTATAATCGTCATGGGTTGATTTATTAATATTTACCCTAATGTCAGCAAGTCTCCACATGTAAAAAACCTGACGGTACCCAAACAAAAGACTATAACAATATTGATTTAGAAACAGATACACCTCCTATTTTTCCAGGAAGACAGTGTTCCTCGTTTTAGGTATCCACCTCAGCGGCAGGTGTGGTCATGTGCGAATATTTACTTGCAGCAGAACCAAATAGAAAGCTCATGGCCTTTCCCACAGTTTTATGCTATTTTATAGCTTCAAGGGCTTTACAAGTGTCCTTATCTCATATTCCTCACCTCTTCCCTGTATAACATTTAGCAAACTTTTAACCTTCATTAGGCTCCATGTAAAAACGGAAGAAGACTCTAGTTCTGATTGGACCCGGTCATGTCCTTTCCTTCTCTGGCTAGATCACGGGAGGGCGTATTTCCAAAATCTTTCTGGAGACTACAACTTGACGTAGAGTTTGGATTCCCACCCAATTTAATACTCTTCCCTTCAAAAAGAGACAGGAATCAATTGCTCAGAAAGGTTTACTGTTGCTCCAAATGACCACCACATTCATCGCACTTTGAGAGATCTGTTTTCATATCACTTGTGCTTTGAAATTATTGATTATTCCTGGGGCCGGCCTGGTGGCACAGCAGTTAAGTTCACATGTTCCACTTTGGCGGCCCGGGATTCGCTAGTTTGGATCCCGGGTGCAGACACGGCACAGCTTGGCAAACCATGCTGTGGTAGGCGTCCCACGTATAAAGTAGAGGAAGATGGGCATGGATGTTAGCTTAGTGCCAGCCTTCCTCAGCAGAAAGTGGAGGATTGGCGGTGGGTGTTAGCTCAAGGCTAATCTTCCTCAAAAAAAAAAAAAAAAGAAAAAGAAATTAATGATTATTTTTGACATTGAAAGTACAAGGAAGAATATCAGGAGCCTTGAGGGGGCTCAAGCCCCACAAAGAGTCCACATACAGTGTTATTTTCTTGTAAAATTCATTTAAAAATCCATTCGGGCAGTAGGATCAATACAGTCACAAGCCTGCAAGACAGGCCTGCCTTAAGCTGAATTTCATGTTGTGGCCTTAGAGAAAATAGTGTTAGAGGAAGCATCAATATCTAGTACTACTCACTGGTCATACAACAAGATGTAAAATACAGTGGAAAATCTAAGTTTTCCTAAAAGTTAAAAAACAGTGATAGCAAATGGATATGTTTGTTGACCCAAAGCTTATTCACTTCTTTTACCAAGGTTGCCTATAGAATTCTGCTCCTGGGGAGGCATTTGAACCAGGATGGAGTCAAATTTACTGGGCTTTGTTCACTAGGTCACTGTTGGATGGGGTGACGCAGGTAGAAATCACCTGGCATTTGTTGTGAGTTAATCCCTCTTCCTCCTTGCTGTTTAATTTTCTTTACTCCAGGGTGACTTCTGGATTCACACAACATTTTATTCAGTTCTGCAGCCACTCGGCTTTGATTGCGCAGTCAGTAATCTGCCTTCAATTTTCTTCTGTCAGTAAACTACCTCTCTGGAACAACTGCCTGGCAAACAAATTGGGTCACAATATGCTTATCTGTAAAGCTGACAGCACATTGCATCCTCCATGCCACGTTACACAGATCAACCGTGTCAGAGCCCCAATGTTATCATGTGACTGTTGTTCTTACTTCTTAATTTAGCAAGAAATGGCTTAATTTCCCATGAGTGAGTTTAACCCTTGAGTGAAACTTTGCCACATTTAAAAATGAGGCAAAGTGCAGTGGCAGAAAGGCAGATTGTTCGTTCACCACTGTTCTCTCCTGAAATATTTAGCAGAACCATTTAACGCCAAGCAGTCTAGGAAATTTTTTCACACCTCCCTGACAGCTCATGGGCTCTGACTGACTTCCTCACAGAGCACTCACTGAATAAATAGCATTTTAACCAGTCCAGTGCTGATGGGGAGGAAGACTGGAACCTGTGAATATCTCTTTTGTTTTTTGGAAGTGCCGCTGTAAGGGCAAGAGTCCATGCTCTGCCTTCAATCTAAAATAACCCATTGAAATGTTAATCTTTAAATTGAGAATATATATCACTTATCATGATGTTTTCTTCTGGGTTCAACCACATGGACTTCCCCTCCCCAAAGCCGACCTGGCTGAGTGCCTGCCTTGGCAACAGCAGAGACAGTCACTGAACCTTCAATAGAGCATCATTCGCCTGCGGACCAGCCGGCCACTTGGTGGCTAGACTATTACATTGGACCTCTTCCAGCATGGAGTGGGAAGAGATTTGTCTTCTTTGGATTAGGTATGTGTTCTCAATATTGATCTGCCTTCATTACCCATAATGTTTCTGTCTTATTCACCAGCGTGGTGACTTCATTCCACACTCCACACCATATTGCTTCTGATCAAGAAGCTCATTTCATGGCAAAAGCATTTCAGCAGAGGAGACGTGCCCATTGAATCCACTGGTTTTCACCACATCCTCCAACACTCAGAAGCTGCTGGTTAACAGGACAGGATCATGGCCTATTGAAGCCCCCTGTTAGCTGCCAGTTAGGAGAGACACCCTGAAAGCAGGTGGTTCTGTCACACAGGATGCAGTAGATGCTGTGAAGCAGAAGCCAATATCCGTGTGCCTCTCCTATAGCCATGGGTCCAAGAGTCAAGGTTGGGAGCAGCAATGGCTCCTTTCATGATTACAACTAATAACCTACTTGTAGAATTCTTGCTTCCCATCTGCTGCAGGAGATCATAGCAGCATTCTTGCTAGGCTTTAAGCCTAAGGAAAAAGAAATTCCAAATGGGTGACTGGTGGGGTATGTGATCTGCTGATCCTCATAGTCATTATACCAGATTGCTTGTGCTTTGGACTCTCAGGCCAGAGGGGAATATGTTATTGGGAATGAAGGCAAGGGACTTAGGAACGCCTGGCCCTTGCAGGAACAGAACGCTGCCTGCATACCTTGCTGATTGTCCTTAAGATACTCCCCAAGGGAATGACCTGGGATGGTCTGGTGTGCTTCAGGGGATGAAGAATAGAACCTTTGGACTCTGGCCTGCGTGTCCCTGCAGGCATGAGTTTCTGCTGTTGTAATTGCTTGTGATTCTTTACCCAAATTTATTCTTTACGCAAATAAATATGTGGCAAACTGAGGGACCTCACCTCAGTCCTTGAGGCTGATGGTCCCCTGTCCCATTGAATAATATAGATTGTGTTCTGTCTATTAGTTCTGTCCACCCCTTCGGCTGGCTGCCTAGCTGGTCTTGGCCGCAAGTGGTGCCCAATGTGGGGCACGAAGGAAGAGCCGCCAAAGAGCGACGGTGGAGTTTCAGCGGTGCGGAAGCTGGAAGCGGTGTGAGGCCTCAAAAGATTCCCCGTGTCGGTAAGTGCTTCCAGAAGTTTCAACAGGGTAAATGGGTAATTTTGAAAGTACAGAACGGTATCGCCCTTACATCTGCTTACTCAGGCAATTGCTGAGGGCAGTGGGGGCTAAGGTCAGTAAAAATCAATTGTTTGAGTTGTTGCAAATCATAGAGAACCATTGTACTTGATTTCCTACTCTAGGTACGTTAGATTTACAATCATGGGAAAAGGTGGGAACTGAATTAAAGAAAGAATATCAGACAGGCATTCTGATGCCTGTGACTATATGGAACACTTGATCATTAATTCGTTCCGTACTAGAGCCCCTCCAAACCCAGGACTCCTCAAAGGGGAGCGAAGGAGAGACAGACAGCGAAGGTGGGGCCTCCTTTACTGATCACATAAAGAGCCCTGATTATGCAGTCCTTGAAGAGACGGCTACTAAAAGGAAGAGCACATGTGGCCGTCAGCACCTGAGCCTGATGATATATTTCCACCACCCGCTCCGGTCCCATTCCCTCCTCCACTCATTCTGGAGTTTGTTGGCGGCGCCATAGCTAAGCGTCCTCCGGCTCCCACACTTTCACCTTTACAAATGGGAATTAGACGAGCAGTAAAGGAGGGAGATCTGGAAGCCCTTCACGTGGCATTCCCCGTAACCGTTCATGAGAGAGGGGCTCCTGGTGTTGATCCTCAAAATCTCAATGGCATATGTAAGGCGGTTCATGATCCTTTCCCTTTTAAGATCTTAAAAGAGTTAAAACAGGCCGTTGAGAATTATGGAGTTAACTCTCCCTTCACAGTCGGGATAGTTCAGGGGATTGCTGAGGGCAATACACTGATCCCTGCAGACTGGTCAACTTTGGCAAAGACTGTCTTAGCCCCTGGGGAGTTTTTACAATTTCATACCTGGTGGCAAGATCACGCGGAGACAGCAGCCGCGCATAATCAGGCCGGACAGATTCCGATATCTTTAGAACAATTGATGGGCATCGGACCTTGGGCTGACGACAAAATCAGCTAAGGACGGAGGATCAAGCTGTAGAACCATTAAGACGCTGCTGCCTGAGAGCGTGGGAAAAGATTGAGACGAAAAGTATTGCCACGGTCTCATTTCAGAGAATCAGTCAAGGGCCTAAAGAACCATACACAGAATTTATTGCTAGACTACAAGAAGCTATTAAATGACAGATAACTAATGGAGAGGCAGCAGACACTATTTTACAATTACTGGCTTATGAGAATGCTAATTCTGATTGTAAGAAGGTGCTTGGGCCATTTAAGGGAAAGGGTAATTTGACTGATTATATAAAAATGTGCCAGGGAGTGGGAACTGAGACTTTGAAGGCGGAGATGTTAGCACAAGCCATGGCAGGTCTGCGAGTGGGCAAATTTCCCGGAGTATGTTTTAGTTGTGGGAAATCGGGCCACACTTGAAAGGAATGCAGGATAAAAAGGCAGAAAAGTGATAATGGCTCTAACCAAAAAGTGAGGAAAACACCTGCCATCTCTGGGCTGTGTCCTCGTTGCCAGAAAGGGAATCACTGGGCTAGTCAATGCCAATCTAAATGTTATAAGAATGGGAATGTACTATCAGGAAACTACCGGAGGGGCGGGCTCCCAGCCCCGACAGACGAGGGGGCCTTCCCTGCTTAGAAGCAGGAAAACGACACCAATAATTACACGGCCGTGCCTTGGATTTATCCCACCCCACAGCAGAGGTGCTGCAGTAGGCCTAACCAGCAGTGAGAATTGTATAGTCACTCCTGCTGAAACGCCTCCTCAGATTAACACTGGGATATCTGGTCGCTTACTTAAAGGCACGGTTGGACTACTTTTAGGGAGGTCAGGATTGACTTCACAAGGGGTTAGGGTGCATACTGGGTTTATAGATAGTGATTATCAAGGAGAAATAAAGGTTATGGTGTCTACATCAATTCCCTGGCAGATACAAAAGGGAGATAGCATTGCTTAACTTTTAATCTTGCCCTATATTGCTATAGGAAACTCACAACAAACTAGAGGGCAACGAGGATTTGGCAGTACGGGGCAAGCGGGGGTTTTCCTTACTGAAAAAAATTTAGAACCTCACCCAACCTGCAAAATGAACACCAATGGAAAAACATTTGATGGCTTAATTGATAGCGGGGCAGATGTCTCCATCATCAGCTCTAAACACTGACCTTATCACTGGCCTACCACTCCTCCCCTGATTTCTATTATCGGCCTTGGGGCAGCACAGGCGTTGAGGCAGAGTTCAAATATATTACATTGCACGAGGCCAAATGGACAAAAGGCTACCTTACAGCCTTATGTCACTGATCTTCCCATTAATCTATGGGGATGAGACTTGTTAGAACAATAGAAAGCAGAAATATATATTCCTCCTCAGGTATTCTTATAGTGAGCGATCACAAAAAATTATGGAAAAACAACAATATGTCCCAGGTTTAGGACTAGGAAAGCAATTACAGGAAACAGTAAACCCTGTAGCCCCTAATGGGAAACAGAATAAGCATGGGTTAAGATACTCGCCTTTTTAATGGAGGCCACCGCTCATATAAAGCTTCCCCCACCGACGCCTATAGCATTGGCGTGGAAATCTGACAAACCTGTGTGGGTGGAGCAGTGGCCTTTGAAAAAGGAGAAATTGGAAGCTCTTAAAGAATTAGTTAATGAACAGCTCGAAAAGGGGCATATCAAGAGACGCTTAGCCCCTGGAATTCTCCTGTTTTTGTAATTAAAAAGAAAACAGAAAAATGGAGAATGTTAACCGATTTGAGGGCTATTAATGCTACTATAATTCCTATGGGTGCCTTACAACCTGGATTACTGAGTCCTAATATGATACCAAAGGTCTGGAAAATTTTAGTCATAGATCTGAAAGATTGTTTCTTTACCATCCCCCTACATGAAAAGGATCAAATGCGCTTTGCTTTCTCTGTGCCCTCCATTAATTTGGCCGAGCCATACAAGAGGTTTCATTGGACTGTTCTACCACAAGGGATGTTGAATAGCCCTACTATATGTCAAAATTGTGTTGCTAAAGCTGTAGACCCCGTGAGGGCAAAGTACCCACAAGCGTATATTATTCATTATATGGATGACATCCTTTGTGCAGCCCCAGACACTAATTTATTGTCTACTGTCTTCCAAGAATTACAACTTCATTTGAATCATGCGGGGCTAAAAATAGCCCCAGAAAGGGTTCAACTCACCAAACCTTATCTCTACTTAGTCACAATAGTAGGAAAAACCACTATCTGACCTCAAAAGGTTCAAATTCAGAGGGACTCAATCACTACTTTAAATGATTTACAAAAATTGCTTGGTGACATTAACTGGCTAAGACCAAAATTAGGAATACCTACGTGTGCTTTATCACATTTATTCTCTCTTCTGAGAAGAAATTCCGATTTAAATAGCCCTAGAAGCTTGACAAAAGAAGCAAATCAAGAGTTCGAACTAATTGAGCAATATATTCAAACTGCCCAAACGCATAGAGTCAACCTTCGTATTCCAATTTCATTATATATTATTTCTACACCCCATTCACCAACAGGAATCCTAATGCAGCAAAATAATTTAATAGAATGGATATTCTTACTTAATAATATGTCTAAATCCATTCCCCCATACCTAGATCTTATTGTTGAAGTACTAAGTCGGGGAGGAGAAAGAACTAAACAACTTTCTGGAAATGACCTGGATACTCTTTGCTTGATGTTATCCCACAAAGAAGTATCACAATGTTTTCAAAATCATATGAAATGGCAATTGGCTTTTGCTGATTATGTGTGAAAAATAGATAATCATTTTCCCAAAATACCTGTATTAGAATTTTTACAAAGGACTCAGTGGATCATTCCAAAGATCACTAAATTGACTCCTATGTCCGGTGCCAATGTTATATTTACAGATGGCTCTAGTAATCATAAGGCTGGTTACACCGGAGCATATACCTGTGTCATAGATATCCCCGGATTATCAGCTCAGCAGGCTGAGTTAAAAGCGATCGCTCATGCTTTGCAAAATATCCAGGAACCTATTAATATTTTATCTGATTCCCAATATGCTGTTCAAGTAACACATTTGATTGAAACAGCACTTATCAAACTAAATCTTCCTGATTCTTTGTATGTTCTTTTCAATGTTCTACAAACCACCATTCGTAACTGGCACCACATATTTTACATAACCCGTATCAGAGCCCATACTTCTCTTCCAGGTCCTCTCACAGAGGGAAACGCCTGAGCAGATGTATTACTATTCCCAATTTTTTCTGATGCTCAACAATTTCATGCTTTAACTCACTGTAATGCTAAAGGTTTAAAGATGCAATATGACTTAACATGGGCCCAAGCTAATCAAATTGTACGAACTTGTCCCCCTTGTCAAGAAGTAAACATAGTCCCTGAAACTCATACAGGAGTTAATCCTAGAGGTTTAAAGCCTAATGACCTCTGGCAAATGGATGATACTCATATTCCCTCCTTTGGGAAGATGTCATTTGTACACATTTGTATTGATACTTTTTCTCATTATATTTGGGCAACTGCCACTACGGGAGAGACAGCCAAACATGTGATAATGCACCTTCGTAGTTGTATGGCAGTAATGGGCCGACCTAAAGCCATAAAGACAGATAACGGTCCGGCCTACACCAGCATCTCTCTTGCTAAATTCTTAACAGATTGGGCTATCCGCCATTCTACAGGCATTCCATATAATCCTCAGGGACAGCCCATAGTAGAACGAGCAAATCGAACTCTGAAAGCCATGCTACAAAAACAAAAAGGGGGAGATGCCACTATCTCCCCTCCACAAAGAATTTACAAAGCATTATTCACTTTGAATTTTTTGCAACCATATGAGGAAGGAACCCCAGCAGAAAAGCATTATGCACAAGAGCAGACGAAGAAAAACAAACCATCTATCTGTTGGTTCGATCCTGGGAGTAATACATGGAATAGGGGGTCACTAATAACAGGGGGACGAGGTTTTGCTTGTGTTTCACCAGGAGATTTAGAAAAGCCGATCTGGGTTCCTTCTAGACATCTTAAGCCATATCATGGGCACCTCGCCAAGAAAACATCGATTAATGTAGGACGTCCACCGCGAATGGACGTTTTCTTGGCGGGGTGCTCATGAACCACTGGTGATGCGTTTTCAGGGTTTAAGCCTGAAGACTACTAAAATCACATTCCCACTGCCACAGACACATCGTACATCAATTCCAACCTGGGGACAAATAAATAAATTGGCTCAACAAGCAGAGAAGGTGTTTGAACAAGAAAAGAAACCCGTCACTCCAAATAACTTGGCTCTGGCGATGTTCGCCCTGGTGTTGGTGGCCGTAAGTATATCCGGGGCCATAGCCCAGCCGAATAACAGTACTTATACATATTGGGCTTACATTCCTAACCCCCCATTGATCAGAGTAGTGAACTGGGGAGAAAATTCTGTCCCTGTATATGTTAATGATTCATCCTGGGTCTTGGGGCCCGAGGATGTCCGTCTACCTATATTTGAAAAGGAAGAAGGTACCCCATATGAAACAACTCATTTTGGTTTCGACCCTTGGCCTATTTGCATAAGAAGAGGAAGAGGCTGTTTAAATTTCACTACACAGGCTTGGCTATCTGCTTACATGCTCGATAGAAATCATAGCCAAGCACAGTTACATATGTTATCGGGTTACAGTTTCCACTATTCTATTGCCCCCCCAAACAATCTTACGGCTCCAAATCGTCCAGTGTGTGCTGGTCAAAGATTATGTGTGGATAAAATTGATCGAATACATTGGGATGTTTGTCGCGGGACGGAGGGGGTAATTTTGATTACCTATGGAACAGTATGGGACTGGTCCCCCAAAAGGTATACAGTCTCAAATTGCTCCCATACAGACTCTGCCTGCAATCCCTATAAAAGGTTAAGATGGCAAATTTCAGGGTGTAAGCACACCAGTATTACAACACATAGAGTATATCCCATTTTATGGCACGGGGAAGGATTTTCTCCTCTGCAACCTCAATTTAATATGGGTAGACCACAGATTGACTTATGGAAACTAGCCTTTAGTCTAAGGCGATTCAGAATTTAGGATGGAAACTATGAGAACACAAAATTGTCTTTCAACACATCCGCCAATTGGACTTTTTACATCAAAGCCTGAGTCCGAGATCCATATGTATTGGCCATAGGTACAGTATCTATTAATGAAGCAGATAAAACTGTGGATTGTAAGGACTGCAAATTATACACTTGTCTCAATAGCTCCTTATACAATGATTCTCACTCATATATGCTATTGAGGCGACGTTTGGGCGTTTGGCTTCCAGTAGGTCAAAATAGGCCGTGGGAAGGATCTCCGGATACCCACGCCTTACTACAAATAATTCAGAAAGTCTTAAAAAGATCTAAAAGATTTATAGGATTATTAATTGCTGCTATATCAGGCATTATAGCAATAGCATCCACTGCCGCTGTTGCTGGGATGGCACTGCATCAAACAATTCAAACCACTACCTTTGTTCAACAATGGCCCGAAAATGCCTGTGAAGCATGGAACAGTAGGATAAGAATTGATCAGGGAGTCAATGAACAGCTAGTGGATCTGCAAAATGCTGTATTAATATTGGGAGCTGAAGTACATAACTTAAAAAAGCTAGTCAGACTGCAATGTGATTGGAATGTTACTGAGTTCTGTATTACACCACATCCTTAGGATGATAGTGAGCATGCCTGGAGCACTATAAGGTGGCATTTAAAGAGCCACCTCAAGGACAATCTCACATTAGATATAGATTTATTGCAAGTTAAAGTAAAACATATGCAAGATGCTAAATTATCCTTGCTACCTGAATCTGAACTGTTTGATGGTATACATACTGTCTTATCAAAGATGTTTCCTACTGATTGGATAAAAACCATTGGCAGTGGCCTTATTGGAATTGTTATATCAGGATGTATATTTTTCATTATTTTCTGCTTAGTCCTCAGATACACGAGAAAAACCTTCTGAGACCTGACTAAGAGAGAAGCTGCCCGGATCGCCTACCTCCTCTTACAAAAACAAAAAGGGGGAAATGCTGCAGGAGATTATAGCAGCATTCTTGCTAGGCTTTAAGCCTAAGGAAAAAGAAATTCCAAATGGGTGACTGGGGGGGTATGTGATCTGCTGATCCTCATAATCATTATACCAGATTGCTTGTGCTTTGGACTCTCAGGCCAGAGGGGAATATGTTATTGGGAATGAAGGCAAGGGACTTAGGAACGCCTGGCCCTTGCAGGAACAGAACGCTGCCTGCATACCTTGCTGATTGTCCTTAAGATACTCCCCAAGGGAATGACCTGGGATGGTCTGGTGTGCTTCAGGGGATGAAGAATAGAACCTTTGGACTCTGGCCTGCGTGTCCCTGCAGGCATGAGTTTCTGCTATTGTGATTGCTTGTGATTCTTTACCCGAAAATAAATATGTGGCGAACCGAGGGACCTCACCTCAGTCCTTGAGGCTGATGGTCCCCTGTCCCATTGAATAATATAGTTTGTATTCTGTCTATTAATTCTGTCCGCCCCTTTGGCAGGCTGCCTAGCTGGTCTCGGCGGCACCCATCCTTGCAGTTTTGAGCTCTGCTGGTTTGACGATTTTGGCTCCTGACGGGACAAATGTTTCCGTTGAGTTGGAAGCTAAGACTGCCAAATATTCCTTTTAATCTACTACTGCCATTGAACTAACAGCCCCAAACTACAGCAGCAACAACAAAAAACGAGAGAAAGAAAAGAAAGGCTCTGAGAATGCAGACCCTTCGGGAATAAAGATTTGGGTCACCTCACCAGGTAAAGAATCATGACCAGCTGAAGTTCTTTCTGAGGGCAAAGAAAAGATGAAATGGGTAGGGTAAGAAAGAAGATGGTGGGGCTGGCCCCGTGGCTGAGTGGTTAAGTTCGTGCGCTCCACGGCAAGCCACCCAGTGTTTCGTTGGTTTGAATCCTGGGCATGGACCTGGCACTGCTCATCAAACCACGCTGAGGCAGCGTCCCACGTGCCACAACTAGAAGGACCACAACTAAGAATATGCAACTATGTACCGGGGGGCTTTGGGGAGAAAAAGGAAAAAAGATAAAATCATTAAAAAAAAAAAAGAAGGAAGATGGTTATAAATATATCTTTGTGATTAGTTACAGAAATGAAGGCTATAGCGGCTATGCATATTTTTCTCCCTTGCTTTGTGTGTGTGTGTGCATGTGTATCACGTGGTTTATGGTATATATATAATAAATGTATCTATAGTGACAATTTTGTTTTCTCTCTTCCACGTTTTGTCAGAAGCAAACTTTACAATTTAGTCATCAGAAAACAGAGTATTCAGATGGCACTGTGACCCAATTTGAGGAATAATTAAGATAATTAATTTTATTAATTTTTAGTTATTTTATTTTTAAATTTAGTAATTTGGGGGGAGTTGAGAATTCTTTGTTTATCTCATTCTTGGTCCCGTTACATACAGAAGCATCCCCTGGAGTTTCAAGACCAGGAGGAAGGGCCAGCGCCAGGGAGAGAAAAGGGTGGCTGGCAGTGCTGGCGCTGGAGTCCTGGGGAGGGTCCCCTTCCTCTCAGGGTGCGACTGGACAGGTGCAGCTGCAGGATTTCCTCCACTAGCTTCAGGTACTCAGCTGTCTGCTTCACACCCTCCCAGCGGGCAGGGGATGGGTCACTGGGAACTCCCTGAAGCAGGGTGTGCAGCCATCCTAGTAGCCCTGCGGAGCTGCAGGGTAGGCCCCTGCCTTCGTCAAGCAGGGCCTGGGTGATGAGCTTGGTGGCTGCCTCAGATAGGCAGGAGGCAGGGCCTCCGTCCTCTTCCTCCTCCTCCTCCTGCCCTCCTGGCTCCTGAGGTTCCTGGTCTGGCCTTCCGGGCTCTGCCTGCATCACTGCCAGCCCACCTATGTGGGTAGGAGTGGGCCCTGCATCTTCCTCCTTGGAGAAGGGGTCGAAGAGAGCAAGCTCAGCCTCAGTGACGGGGGCCTGCAGTAGGGGCCTGCATATCCGCTCCGGGCTCCCACAGTTCAAAAGCAGATGCAGGGCTGGATGGCGGGGGTCCGCTGGCACCTCCAACTCCTCGAGGCCCCTCCTTTCTGCCAGGAGTGGTTGGTGCAACCAGGGTCATCAGGCAGCTGCAGGGGCTTGTCAGAAGGCAGTGTGGGGATCAGAGGGAGTGACAGGATGTGCAGGTCCCTGGACACCTTAGAGGGCGGTGTCACCTCCCCACGCCAGAAGAACTCCTTGAGTTGGGGGCTGTTGTTGGGGGCGGGGATGTGCATGGTGAGTGAAGTCCTCAGTCCCCTGTCACCGCTCCCGCATCACTGAGGTTTCCCACCAGCCAAAGCCTGGGGTGTAGGGGACCAGAGAGCTCCTGGAGGTGAGGAAGAGAAAGCGGGGGTGTGGGTCAGGTCTCCACGCAGCTTGTGGAAGTGTCTGTACCGCAGACAGCGTTAGGACTTTGCATCTCATCCTTTTCAGATAAGGGTGAGAATGAATATCTTCCTTTGTATGAACTATAGTTGCCTTTCGTTAGACGGAAACATAGAGTTCTATTTCTTGTGTGAGCATTCAGATATGTACAGAAGGGTGTGTATGGCTGCTGAGTAGCCAACGGAGTTACTACTAGCTAGTTACTAAGCTATTATCTCTTAGCTCTAAGCCCTCTCTTCTAGTCTCTGCTTTGTGATGCTAATTTTGAGACTTTTCAAACCGTGTTTCTGTTTGCCAGCTGCTCCCCGCTCCGTTCTGCTAATAGGGGGCACTACTGAAAGCCTGTGAGGCTGGAAGGGAAGAAGGGCTTGCTCCTTCCTGTTTGCCCCCGAGAACTTCTTGACTTCTTCCTGTGCCAGTGAGTGTCCCCTTATTCTCGCCTCTTCACCCTGGCAAGGCAGTTTACATGTGTAGCAGCAGCTGAATCCAGTTTGCAGTTTCCCCGCTATTTGCAGAGCCAGCCTCTTCATGCCCGCTCTGAGACATTCCTGCCATCTGGTAGGCCCCTTCCTCAGAAGGCTGGGTTTCAGCTCCAGGGAGCCCCTCCTGAGCTTCCAAGCTCTAACAGTTTCGACCACTTCTCTCTTGTTCCCTGAACATTGGTTTGCTAGCTCCGTGCTATCTTAGTCTACTGTTTCCCTTTTCTGTCACCAAGTTAACAGTTCTTCCTTCCTGGTTTCCAGTCCTTGATGTCAATTTCTTTCTGGTGTGGGACTTCCCTTTCTATCCAAGATGGACCAACAGAGCCTCGCTTTCACTTCTCAACTGTGTCAAAAGTTCAGCAATAGCCAAAACAAAATCAATGAACCACTGCAGTAGTAATTAGTAAAAGTTTGTTGTGCACATACCAAAAAGACTGTTCTTGAACGGGGAGCACTCCAACCAAACATGGAATGACACTCAGGGTTATATTGTTGTAAAGCAGCTTATATAGCGAGGAGGCATTTACTGCTTATTCAGTAACAGATGTCAGAAGGCTGTAACAAGGATTGGTTATAATTTTAGAACTTTCTTAAATGATGGGGAATTGGTCAATGGTTACCTTCTGTCAACCTTGGAAAACAGTTTAAGTTTTGCTTAGGATTTCCAGAGGCTAAACAAGACATTACTCAGGTCAGATTAGTCTTGCATAATAAGCTAAATTAAGCTTTGTTTGTATGACTAAACTGTTTTGTCTGCTCAGGGAATTTTCAAAGCTGCTGTCCATTTGTGCTTGATTTTAACACCTGAAACAATCAAAAAAATCCAGACAAGATATATGAACAATGGTTTTCCAGACACTAAAAATCCAGGAACGCAGGACAGTTATGGCTGAGAGAAGGGAAACGGTGGAGGCAAGCCGTGAGACGGCCCTGCTCATGGCCTGGAGAAGGTTTTCAGGCTGTGGGGCAGGGCGAGGAACCCAGGCAGAAATAAGCTGCAGAAATGAGCTTCAGGAATGGAGTTGAGGGTAAGCCCAGGTGGCTACAGGTGGCAGAGCAGAGCACTGGCGAGGAGAGAACACTTCTTTAAAAGGCATACAGAGAAGGGCTGGCCCCGTGGCCGAGTGGTTAAGTTCGTGCACTTGGCTGCAGGCGGCCCAGGCTTTCGTCGGTTCGAATCCTGGGCGCGGACATGGCACTGCTCATCAGGCCATGCTGAGGCGGCGTCCCACATACCACAACTACAAGGACCCACAACGAAGAATATACAACTGTGTACCAGGGGGCTTTGGGGAGAAAAAGGAAAAAAAATAAAATCTTTAAGGAAAAAAAAGAGACATACAGAGAATGAAAAGCCATGGTCTGGGAGAAAATGTTTGCAAATCCTGTATCTGATCAAGGACTTATAAAGAATATGCAATGAACTCTCAAAGCTCAATAATAAGAAAACAGTCCAAGAAAAAATAGGCAAAAGATTTGAACAGGGGCCGGCCTGTGGCCGAGTGGTTAAGTTTGTGCACTCCGCTTCGGTGGCCCAGGGTTTCGCCGGTTGGGATCCCGGGCACAGATATGTCACCACTCATCAGGCCATGCTGGGGTAGCGTTCCACATAGCACAACCAGAGGCACTCACAACTAGAATATACAGCTATGTAGCGGGGGGCTTTGGGGAGAAGACGGAGGAAAAAAAAAAGATTTGAACAGACATTTCACCAAAAAATAGATACAGATGATGTCAAACAGCATGTGAAACGATGCTCAACATCAGCAGTCATTCAGGAAAGGCAAATTGGAAGTACGGTGAGATACCATAACGCACCTATATTAGAAACTCTAAAATTTAAAAACTGATCATACTAAGGTTGGTGAGGATGCAGCGGAACTGGCCCTCTCATACTCTGCTGGTGGGAATGTCAAGTGGTACTTTGGAAAAACAGTTTGGCAGTTTAACACGTTAAACATTTATCTCCCATGTGACCCAGGCATCCCACCACTAGGTGTTTACCCAAGAGAAATCAAAGTGTATTTCCATACAGAGGCTCACACAGGAATGTTCGTAGCAGCTTTATTTGTAATAAACAAAAGCTAGAAACAACCCAAGTGTCCATCCACAGGCTGACGAATAAACAATATGTGGTATATACATAGAATGGAACACTATTCAGAAATAAAAAGGAATGAATTATTGAAACAAGCAAAAAGTAGATAAAGTTTAAAATAATTATTCTGAATGAAAGAATCCAGACAAAAAAGGAGTACATACTGTATGTTATCATTTATTTAAAATTCTAGAAAATGCAAACTAATATATAGGGATAGAAAGCAGATCTGCAGTTGCTTGGAGAAGGGAGACGTCAAGAAGGGCACAGGAGAGGGATTGCAAACGGATTACTTTTGGGGGGTGATAGCTATGTTTATTATCTTGATTGTGGTGATGGTTTCATAAGTATATACTTGTCAAAACTTAAATTGTATACTTTAAACGTGTAATTTACTGTATATGTTATACCTCAATAAAAGTGTTAAAAATTAGAATGTGTTAGGGTGAGGCTGGTAAGACAAAACTGCACAGACATTCCTTTTGGCAGCT